GAGAGAGAGAGAGAGAGAGAGAGAGAGAGAGAGAGAGAGAGAGAGAGAAGGGGGAGAGAGCTCAAAACTGGCAGTTTCTGTTTTGACGGCTGCACTTGGCATTCAAACATTGTCATTAAAATTTTACAGGTGACGTAAGTATCAAGCAGTTGTGTTGTCTTCAAAGGCAAACATTTTCTCATTATAATGAATGAAACCATGGTCTGGGCAGGAATGCTAGTGACCTCTAGTAAATGAACCACTGACCCATAGATAGATGAGAATCAGCCTGAGTAAATGAGGCAGAAGTTTTCCCAGCGTAACTTCGCATGCTAACAGGGCAGATTCTTAGGATAATGAGACGGGATAGCACGGTCGGTAGGGAACACCTAATAGAAACAAACATCACTGTGCTGCCAAACGCCTCTTCTCCGTCACTCTTCATTCTCATCTTACACCAGATGTAGAGGCTTTGAAAGTGACACAGAAAAGCCACACACAGAGACTTGTCCAGCAGAGCCAAGCAAAAGGTCATTTAAAATATCGACATTGTCAATAGTCAATTTATTCAGAGTAAATCGCCTTCTGAATCTATGCTGTACAATGAAGCAGCATTCACACGGGCACTTGAAATGTGGCCAGTCCTAATTAGGTGTGCCTATGTAAACACCCACTAGGATTCGGCTGTGCAAGAGAAGTAGAAAGATATAAAACATTTCAATGATTTTTATATGGATTATCTGTTTACACAAGAGTATTCTGGATGCCCTAGTTAAAGAAGATTATTAAGTGATGCTCACCTATTTTTTTCTTTTATGTTCTAGTGTGGCTAGCAGGGCTTACATTGTAACTATATTGGTCAATGATGATCTAAGCAAAAAGTCAAGACTGAGGCTCAGAGTTTAGTATTTGCCGACCTTGTACAAGGCCTAGAGTCAATCCCCAGCACAAGACAAAGTCTAGACAAGCAGAGTGCAGGTAGAAATCCAAAAGAATTGAAATAGGGATCTATAGCAGCTGACAACTAGCCGCAAAGTGATTGATAGTTTGATAAATTGTTTCCATACCTCCTCTACAGGAGTGCTGCTCTAAATCCCAATGTCTGCTTGATAACTTTCTAAAGGAGCGCTGAGAAGCAGAGGGGACACGATGGGAATGGTTGTGTTCAGATTTTTATTTGGACTGTAGAAACAGGGACAGAGTCGCATCTCTGCAGGCTCTGGAGGCCACCAGCACCGCTCAGCCGGAGCTTCCCCTGAGATGTTTTTATAGTAGCAGGATTTCCACTTCACCATCCAGAGCACCTATCAGAAGGCTCTCTTCTTAGAAGCAAGTTGATGAAACACTCTCGTCTGGGTACAGAGACCCAGACCCATGACCCATACGCTGCACCGTGATGGGGGTGGGAGTGTGAACTTCGGAAGTGCTGAGTGTTTCAAAAGCATGTTCACAGGGAGTGTCAACACTCAGAGGGATGTGTGCTTAAGTGTATTAACAGTGTGTTGGATTTATTTATTTATTTATTTATTTATTTATTTATTTATTTATTATGTATATAATATTCTGTCTGTGTGTATGCCTGAAGGCCAGAAGAGGGCACCAGACCTCATTAGAAATGGTTGTGAGCCACCATGTGGTTGCTGGGAATTGAACTCAGGACCTTTGGAAGAGCAGGCAATGCTCTTAACCTCTGAGCCATCTCTCCAGCCCCAAAAGTGTGCTTTTTTTGAGAATTCCATGGAGATTATTTATTGTACAGCTTTCCTAATATTCCTTCTTATACTGAAATAGATTTCAATTTTATTTATTTATTGCTTAGGCAGAAAAGACAAGACATCATTCGTCTCTTTCTCTGGAATTCGCCAAAATAAATGAAGTTTTAACATGTGTTTCCCTGTATTATTTGTGTTTACTTAATATGCATATCGTAGAGTATAGAAAGGGCTGTCATCACAGAGAAAGCAAAAATGTAAGCGTTTCTTCACCATGCTGGGGAGGAATGTACAGGCCAGCCAGGAGATCAAAGGGATTTGTGAGATGGCTTTGGTATAGCAGAAACCCTGCTGGGCTTTGCTAGTTCTCCTAGAGGACTTGATTAGAATAAATTCCCAGGTAAGGCCATTGCAAGAGATAGCTACGAAAAGTAGGACCCGGACCATAAGGAGAACACATACAACTGTGGGTCCCGAAGGAAAGCAAGGCAAAGCACATGGAGTACCTCGTATGCAGCACGTGCTAAGAAAACAGCGTGCTATTGTTTTGAAACACAGGCTGCGGCAGAAGTCACGTTTACCCCTCCTTCACTGTCAGAAACACAAGGCCTCTGGGATCATTCCTGTCATTTCCCGCCTTTGTCTGACTTCCTTTGTGAGAAGCTTTATTCAGCCCGTAGTTGCCGGTGACTCAACGCTGAAATCATCTCACTCATCTATTTTCCTCTTTTATTTTTTTTTTAATACAGTTGCAAATCACACAGTATTGGGCTTTGTTCGCCCTCCGACCTCCGCCTCCAAGGTGCGCAACCCTCACAGCCCAGTTATCTTAATGAACTAAAGCCGTTCAGAGAAAAGTAGCTGTATCCATTTCATCAAATCCAGCCGCTGATAATGTCTGGAAAAGAGGAAGACTAATCCTCAGGGGATTTTCTGGGGCCCTATGAAAATTCCTGTCACTTGGTAGCCTATGTGGGCTGGGGGTCGGTGCCAAGTGGCTGCTTACAAGATACACGGGATGTTGCAGAAATATAAATGGGCCAGGGCTGAAATTTAATTAGACACTGCATATGTTAATAATAAATTCAATTAATTTCACCTTCTGCCTATACTGGAGGAGAAAAGAAGCTCAGGCAAAAACAATAATTCATCTTAAATGCCTCAGCTGGGAGCCCCTTTCCTGAAGAGTAATTTACTGACTGTGTCTTCCTAAGATTGCTCCGAACCAGCCCTTTGAAATAATAACAACTTCTGGATGTGTGTAGCGAGAGATACAGCAAAGGACTGCTTATTAATTTTCATTTAATGAGCTGCCCATTCTCATGGTAATTCTTTAAAACTTCTCGAGATAAACATGTTACAAATGCCGTGGCTAACACTTCCATTTGGCCAAAATCGCGACAGACCATCTCTCCTGTTCCCTACCTGAGTTGAAGGTCAATCCGCTGCCGGTTTTCTGTACACTTGGCACGCATTTATGACAGTTATCGCGTCAGGTGGTTTGAAAACGTTTTTAGCCAAGTAATTCCAAGTTGGATAAAGATGGAAAGAGAATAATTCTCGACAGCAAGGGTTTTAGCGGTGCCAGGCAGGGCAAGGAGCAAAGTCATGGGGAAAGAAAGGGAAGAGCAAGAAAACGGGGCCTTTTTTAAAGGACAAAAGGCACGAAGGTTGTTCCTTACAGGGGTCCCATTTCCTCAAGCACCCTTTGTATCTAACAAAGATGCCACATCATCCTGCATAATCAGTAATACGTGGGAATCTTAAGGGTTAGACTTCCATTTTCAAAGAGATCGATTAGATAGACAGACAGATAGATAGATAGATAGATAGATAGATAGATAGATAGATAGATGGATGAGAGGGAGAGAAAGAGAGAGAGAGAGAGAGAGAGAGAGAGAGAGAGAGAGAGAGAGAGAGAGAGAGAGAGAGAGAACGCCATGGTCCATGGTGCGCATGGAGGGCAGAGGCTGACTTGGGGAGCTTGGTTTTCTGTTCCCATCATGCAGGTGCCAAGGATAGAACTCAGACCAATCGTCTTGGCATCATATACCTCAATGCTGAGTCATCCTCTCAGTCCTTTTAAAAGGTTATGCTTTCAAAAAGCTTAACTTCGTAATAACTAATTATTTGTGACCATAATAAAAATAGCAAGAATGAAAACTTAATAAGAATAAAAAAAAAACAAAGTAAGAATCAAGGGAGAAGTTGCTTAGAGCCTTAGGTATTTCAGATGGCCCATGGTGGTTTGACTAGTCCTGCAATAGCCAGAGCAAGAGCCTCTACACATCTTTGCAAGAGCAGAAAGCATTGATTATAATTCAGGCGCAACTGTTACTCACATGAGAACCGGAAAGGCCTTGCTCCTAACCCACATTGCCTTATGCCTTCTCCGTGGAAAAGCCCATATTGCATCTCGCCCATGAACTTGGTCAGCTCCTCCCCTGAGGCGTTGACAAGCAGAGCCCCCGTTTTGCAGAGGATAGTGGCTTTAATCCACAGCGGGGTCCCCACTGCTGTGACGACTCCGAGAGCACAGAGGAAGCTCAGCACACCGGCCATACAAAAGATGATTTTCTTCTGCTGGTTCGGCATCACGAAAAATGTCTTTGGTGAGGATGCAGTTCAAAGCCAAGACCTTTGTGAGCATCAAGAAGGAACCGCCCCTTCCGCATTTATGACAGGGGCTGAAGGGACTAGCTGGAAAAGCAATGCCCTTCCTCGCGGCGGCTCCACCAGGCGGAATGCCAGGCAACCAACCGTCCTTCCTCACCCACCGTGGGCTTTGCTCTTCTTCGTCTGCTTCTCTTCAAATAGAAATCTTTGGGTTAAGAATCTGTGGAACAAAAACTCTTTCAAAGTGCCTTCAAGATCCCCTCTCGCGCCACTTGCTAAGCAAGGTCTAGGGTAACAGATGGAGTCCCCTGAGTAACTTGAGAGAAGTCTCTCTTCCTCAGTCTGTTGTCTGATTGGCTGAGCTGAAGCCTACAGAAACATGCTAGACTCCTAGGGCTAAGTTTGCAGCAACCTGAGACATTCACATATCGACAAGACTATTTCTGGGTTTTGTTTGCTCTTAGCAGTGGGAGAATGGGAGCGTTGGCACACATAACAGTAATTAATTGATTTTGAAAATGTTTAATTTTAGTCAGATGAAACATGGCACGGTGTTGGGTCTGGTGTAGACACAAGAACTACACAGGCTTTGTCCTCCTCAGCCCCAGTTCTCCCGGACCCACATTTTCCATGGGATCTACTTAGAGAAAACGTGGTTCAACTTCTTCTTGATGCAGAGAAACAAGGAGATGCAGTTGCAAGAGTACATTTATAAATGCTTTCTTTTAAAGCATTTGGCTCTATTAGTAGGACAGCAAGGGCGCATGGCTGTGGGTCCAAGGAGCTGCAGAATCTCCAAAGATGAGAGAGAGCCCTGACAAAGAAAAAAGTGCTGTGGTCAGACAGATCCACCGCTGACCAGCTGGTCTCCCAGAGAAAATACCCATCTGAGAGACAAGAGACATGGCTGAACAATATCAAGTAGCAAAGTGTATTTGGTTTAGGAATTTGGACTTGAAAACTCCAGTGGAGAGTGCTGTAGGGAGATCTGCGGCTTGTGATTACCAGCCTACTGGGGCGTGGTCTCATACTATGTACGCTGACACAGAACCTGCCTCTGCCCCTTTTTCTCCTTCCCTTTGCTCTTTTTCGCCGATTGCTCCTTAAGATGGTTTGAATTTAATCTCCATCCATTGTTCAGGCAGAGAATCCTGATTTGTAAGTTTACCCCTAAATAAATAACTATCTCTCAGTTCTGAGCTAGTATGGGATTTCCTTTAAGTGTCTGTCCATCCATTCAGCACTTCTGGCGGGATCACTGCGACAGTGGAGTCCCGTGACTTCTTAGCTCCGGGTGCCTAGTGAGGTTCCTCACGGGGGGGGAGTGGGGGGGGAATCAAATATAATAGGCTCTCTCTCTCTCTCTCTCTCTCTCTCTCTCTCTCTCTCTCTCTCTCCAAAAAAGAGAGATTGTTGTTGAGTCAATATATCATGTTATGCTGGGCTCTTATTTTTGGTACAAGCGTGACTCTCATTCTTCTAAGCATTTCATCAACATAGTGTTATTAACTCTTACAAGTATTAAAATGAGAGTGTGCTGCAGCTAATAATATTATTCTATTATACAGACAGAGAAATTGAGGCCAGACAGGCTGAACAAGTTCCCGAAGGTGCTAGCACTGTTCTGTGGTTGGTATGCTATTCTAAGCAGAAGAACTGGCCTATCAAATCCACATGGGCACTCAAAACAAGGTTTTAAAATATAATTAAGGCCTTGTCTTGTATGTAATTTGACACATACCAAAAAAAAAAAAAAACTCCTTTCAGATAATTGGGCTTTCCAGTGAATTCTCTACTGGATTCAGTCGTCATAGCCAAACGAGGGGAACACACTAATGCCAGGTGGCAGTTATTTGGGGATGTGTGCTCTACACATCCCGGAAAGATTAGTTTGAGAGTGTCTAGATATAATCCATCTTATTTGATCAACATATTTGGTAACTGATGTGGGGGGAACAAGCAAACAAAAACCAGAATACCCCTAAGCCTAGGAAAAGAAGTTTCAACCTAATCAATTGTATTAATACTTCCTTAGGAAGAATGTAGAAGGAAGGAGCAGAGTAGTTAGCATAGGACCGTGGTTAAATTAGCGAAAAACCTGCCAAAAGTGTCTGAAGTCTATCAACGTGAAAGACTGCCCAAGGATGGAGGAAGAGTCTCTGGTTGTTTAACTTTTTAGGATTACCTCTGTCTACAGTGAAGAATGCCCTGTTTGTAGAGACACAGAATAAGGTGATTCCTCACCCCCAAATTACATCCTTCCTACCACACCTTAAAATTTCCTCTCTTTAGTAAACAGCGACAGTAAACATGTTTATTTCTCCTGAACACATGTAGATACTCACCTGAAGTCAGCCTTCGTTCTAATCAAGGGGTGCTCGGTTTGCCTGTCCGATGGAATCCCTCGCAGAGGTGTTCAGAGCACTGTGTCTGCCCCTCAGCTAAGGCTCAGCCGTATTTGGTTTTCGTGTGGCCTTAGCTCTGAATCGCCCGATGATTGCAATGTGCAGTCAAGGCTGCACGCTACTGCCCCCATTCAGTCCCTGCATAACTTGCCTCTGATCGTCAGCCAGGCTTCTCAGGGCTGGAGAGCACAGATGACTGTCCTCATCCTGGTTGCTAGGGAAGGATACTGTTGTGATAAAATTAATGAGCAGGCGCTGAGAAGTATCGCTCCAGCCTCCCCAGATTCCTTCAGCACCATGTGTATGGCTTCCTCATGAGTAGGGTGAGATGCAGCGACCCCCTGGTTACTCTCTGTAGATCAGTAGTGATGGGTCCTGGTCATGGGAGGCAGCTCCCCTTGGGACCCACACCCACCTCACCTCTTCCCTGTGCAGCTTCCTTTCAGACTTGAATGTCAGCCACCCACGGACTGCATAGTAGTGTGTGATCCGCCCTCTGAGGATGATATAATGGAACCTGGCTGTCATTATGCTGCAGCCTTCTTTGGAAGTTTCGTCTTAAACGGCTTGAATGACAGCGATGACACCGTCTTCCTTACAGTCTCTCTGAGAATTTGAGTCATTAATGTCAGCAAGTTTTCACCAAGAATCCCACTGGAGCCTTCTCTTCTTTTTCATCTTAACATTTGGTGACATGGGAAATGGAACCAGGCCTAGCCCTCTCCCACCTCCCCCCATGACCCTTGGCAGGGCCCGGATAATCATAGAATTTTTTCAGAGTGACTGGAGAACCGGAGAGGAAGGGACACAGGTGTAGGCCATTTTTGCTTCCAATACAAGCATTCATGTTTCTTTTCTTGATAATTCAGCTGCATTCTTCTTATTATTACCATTTGGAGAGAGAGGGAGAGAGTAAAGAGAGAGAGAGAGGAGAGACAGAGAGAGAGAGAGAGAGAAGAGAGAAGATGGAAAGAAAGAAAGAAGGGAAGACAAGAAAACGAGGATCAAATACTCACCATGTTTGCTCCCCATCACTCAACCACACCCAGAGTGTAAGGCGCAGGGTAGCCTGGGTTGTAGAAGTAAGACTTTGGGTTCCCCGTTAAACTGATAATTTTTTCTGACATTCATTTTGTAGATTTATGAACATGGCGGCCTGGTCCACACTGGTGGTGCTCACATGATTTCTAAGCAGGAAAACTATGTTCCCTTGCATGAAATAGCGATGAAGAAGGAGATGCTAGGCTGTACGGGTGGCGATGAAGGAGCCTGTGTCCCAGCCTCGCGCTGCACACTCCCCAGAGCGCCCCACTCCAGCTTTGGAAAGAACACAGTGAATGTTAATTCTCTCTGGGGCTAAAATGTGTCCTCTTGCTTATTTAACTTCCTTCTTTCCTGTCCTAACCGGTTATCTATAGAAGCATATCACACTACCTAGGTGCCCTGCATGGATAGCTGTTACAATTATTAATTTGTTGATTAATGCAATCAACAAATTAATTTTGTTCTGCATTTTTATCTGACTTATCATTGGTAGTATTGATTTCTGTTTTCTTCCATATGGCTCATATGGTCTAGGACTTCTCTAAGAGAAATTCAACGAGGGTCTGAGAAACATACTATTCTAAGACAGGAGGCCTTTGTAAATCTATCCTATTTTTTTCTCATCGTTAAAGGAAACTCTCCCAAGATTGATTGACATTCCTTGACTAATTCAAGTTGCTGGTGATAGTCAAGTCGCATTGTAATTCTCTAATGACTGTAAGGGGGAAAAACCACTTCATAGAAAGAATTGATTGATTTATTAGAGGGAAAATTACCACTTGTGCTAGACCTTGATTGCAGCTAATATTTGTAGTGCTAATTGCCTGAACTAGAGGATTAAAAGGATGGAGGGGAGGGAAGAGAAAGAAAGCAAAGTTCTCCTGGAATACTGATGACTCTGCAGTGGATTCAGGCCGAGAGGGAAAGCCCAAGAGTAGGGACTCTTAGGGTTAGTGGTGTGGGGCATTGAGAAAGAACCAGACATAACACACATGCCGCATGCTACGGAAAAGCAGCAGGGATGGAGGAAAGGTGCTTCCATGCGATCTACAAAGATCCTATGGCACCATCAGACTTATTTTGATTTCTTGTTGGCATGTCATACCAAGGCTATGTTGGCATTCATAACCATAACCCAAGATTGGAGATGTCACTCAGCTTGGGTGACCTGTTTGGAGAGCTCAAGACCCTGCATGAGATCCTTAGCCCTGCCAACAAAATGGAGCAATGACAACAGAAACAACCCCCTAACCCAGAGGGTCTGGGGAAATGTCTGAGTGAGCTAATTACGATGAGGTAGGACAGTTACTTAATCTAAAGAGTCAATGTGGTTTGAGATGCTTCTGTCAACAATAATAAACCAGATTTCTAGTACATGGAAATAGGTAATGGTCTCCTGTCTTATTTAAGGCTACTATTGCTACGAGAAGACACCATGACCAAAGCAACTCTTATAAGAGATAGTTGGGATTGGTTTGCGGTTTCAGAGGTTTAGTCCATTATCATCATGGCGGGGACCATGGCATCATG